AGTTACAATTCAATAAAATCAAACTGGAATTTGGCATATTTGATTAATGGTAATACAGACCTAATTGAAAATTTGACAATTCATTCTTATGATGCAGACATTTCAGAAAAATACTACTGAAAATTCGATCAAACAAAATTAGTAGATTGTATTGAGTTAGACCTAAAAAACACTAAAAATTATATGCAAGCCATTCAAACATTTATCAGGTTAATATAGAAATAATGATTAATAACAAAAATTTTAAATAACTTATATTCTTTTTTTTTTTAAGATTACCAGAAGTTAAAAAATATCTTGAAAAGTATGTAATTCCTCTTCCAGCTGACTTTTTAGGATAACTATTTATAAGAAGAGCAATTGTAAACAAATTGGAATCTGAATATGAATTATTCATTTCAAAAAAAAATAACACACCTTATTTCATTTCTGAGACCTCTTCATTGCTCACTCAACACACGTGAATCAGTATTTATTACATTTCACCCATTTTTTAATTGTATATACAAATCAATTTTTGAAAAGACAAAAAAACTGGTGGCAAAACCTAAACCATGAAAAATTAATTTATTATTATACTTAACACATGAAGGCTGGCTCTTAATAAAAAAATATGTTGTAAAAAAATTCGAAGTGTCTAAAGATACATTATATATTACCTTTCTTGACCTATTAGATAATCTGATACCAGCAACTCTGGATATCTACACTTGTTTATTTTGAATGAACCAATTTGAAGAATATATTGACATAATATTTCAATTATGAACTGCAATGCGACAATTTTATAGGCATAATTATGATAAAATAATGTTAGCATTTCTATCAGACATTCATTATTGGAAAGTGATTCAACATCCAATAATAAATACTTTGGAAACACATTTAAACATTTTTGATAAATACCCAGTAGAAAATTTCCATAGTTTATTATGTCGACATACCAGTACAAAAGTATCCACTGGAAATCATTGAGACAGGATGCTTTGTTTCTAGATCATTGCCAGCATAAAAATTCATTCATAAAATCTTTTAAGCCAAAGCATGATTATTCCTATTCCAAAAAAGATCTTGATGATTTAGTTAAATTATCAGCTATATTTCATCTAGATTTTTTTGATAACTTATACCAAAATCCTAACAAAACAGAGTTAAAAATAGAAGGAAAAAGAATTAAAAAGGATTATTCTTACTTTTCTGGTATTAAAACACAATTTTCTTTTGGTATTTTGCCATTAGAATATCACTCAAAATATCGGCCAGTAGTTAGTAAACTATGTGATCGTCCAGAATGTATAGATCTATCATGGAATGATGGTCAGGTGTTAATTTGCGGACACAGATATCATAAAACTTGTTTTTACATTTTAGGATTACGTTACCCACATTGCTTTGATTACCTTTCTGGCTCAATTGATGAATTATCAAAGTCATATAATCACAGGTTACAATTGAGTGAAGAAATTGATAGTTGGACAGATTCTCAGGTGCAAGATGATAATGATGATGAGTTAGATAATGTTGAAACTATATCAAAACAAATTGGAATTAATATAGAATTAAAGAAAAAGATATCTGATAAGTTGAACCATTTATCTTTTAGTTTCAATTTAATCTTATGATTATTACAAAATTTTCAAAAGAATTTGTTAAAAATTGCGTACTGGTCGAAAGAATTGAATTGTCACCAATCTCTGGTTTAACACTGAAGGATATTATAAATGTAACTGGTTTTAAATAGTTCTGAAGTGTTCTATACTGCTTATATACTGCACTTTGATTTAAATTAGACTTTAACTTTTATTATTTGTGAAATTTTTGGTTGTTTTTTAATAAATTGTAAAAAATATATTTTACTTCGACAATTTTTTATATTGTATTACAATAAATTTTATTGGTTGATTATTGTTGATCAACACGTGAAATTAAGCCAATAAACGGATTTTTAACTATGCTATCTGGGGATAGATTTAAGATTATAGTAGCATTAAAAGACTTTAACCGTTCTATCGCTTATATATTACTAAAGAGCCTGAAAACCTTTTTACCCTTTCCTTTCTTTTTCAAAGGTTAGTCTCGGTAAGTTTATCTTGCACAGGAATCTGATTCATGGTTTTATCGTTAACTTTAGCATTAGATACATCCTCATTACAGGTTTTCCTAAAATGATCGAACAACTGCTTAGTGGTCCATTTATAATGCGATATGCCAATCTTACATTACACAGCCCCTATAGTGCCCCTATTTTTTGGCAAGAATTTTCCCAATATCATACTGCGCTCAGGTGGCTTATGCGTTACGTAAAATTCTTTACTATTTACACAGCGACACAGTCATGCTAGTTTTTGGTTTAACTAAACGCTTGTCTACCGATAGTAGTTGTATCTCAAATGCACTTAGAACTGGTCGTATCGTTCGTTATATGACACAAGATATTCACGAAAAGATCTTTTTCAATCGTAAATGGGAACTTGATAAGTTTAATAATGCATTTAGTTCTTATCCAGAGCTTCGTGTCGTTCTAGGTCCTCCTAGTACTGGGAAAACTACCTTGATTCGTGAGGTGGTAACGAATAAAGACAATTTCAAACCTCTTTTTCTAGACTGTCGCTCAGGACAGTTTGATTTTTCAAAGAATTTATATGATTCTATTTCTATGCAATTCAAACCATTCTTCAAGAAACGAATTAAATCCCTGAAAAATATAATGCCAGAGGATCTCAAGGCCAAGCTTCCTTTTTTCAAGTTAAACTTTAAGATATTTGATAAGAGCGAAATTACTCCTAGTAGTGTCAGTGAGTTGCTTGTTGAAATTACTCGTGCTTTTCTGAAATGGAACATTTGGCATAGTAACTATGCATCTCCACACATTTTAGTTGTTGATGAAGCAAACTTGCTTAGCCAACTTGGAGACAGTTCGAAGGAAGGAGCAATCCTTCTAAAAACATTTCTTAACTGGCTTGTATTGAATACAAAACAAGAAAACCGCTTCCATGCTGTGCTTACCTCTTCTGATTCATTTTTTTTGAATTGGATTACAAATCGTAAATCCATTCTATAATCATATTTAGTAGCAATGTAAAGGTTTATAATTCTCTAATTCACATTTATTACCATTCACTAGTTTTGCATATCCCACATATAATCCCGTATGTTGTTGGAGATTTGAATAAGGAAGATGCCGAAGAATATTTTGAAAAGCATGTTCTTCCTCAATATGGTGTCTTTACTGAACCATCTATTTATACTTATTGTAGCTCACATGACGGTTTTGTAATTTAAAAAAGGTTGCAAAGAACTCAAAGGCAAATTTGATCAAATTTGCAGAATAACAGGCACACGCATGCTGATTATTGATAGATATGTCAAAGAATACAAAAATAATGAAGGAAAACTTACAGGTACATACCAGATTTCCTTTAAAAGATATCGTTTTTATTCATTTCTATTGACCTAACTAAAACTTGATGTTATGAATAATTATTTTACAGATAGGAAATTTTCAGTTTTTGAGTTAGAATATGATAAGTTATGTTCTGGTCTTGTTCCTGTTCGTTCTTCAGGCAAGCCTTGTAAACCACTCTAGAATCGGGAAGAATTAATCAAAGTTATAAAAGCTCTTGTTAATGCAGAAAATGAAGGATTCCTCCTAGAAGAGGATCTAGAAAAAGAAATCATTCACGAAAAAATTCATTCACTTGTTAATTATAATTTTTTACACCGTCGGCCAACCAATAGGTTCGCTTATGATATCATTAATCCACCAAAAAATGTAATTTTGACTGCAATGAACAAGCCATCGTTACGCACGATAGAGCTCCTGAGTGAAATTTTATCAAGCAAATAATAATTGTTATATGTAGAGTGTTCTGTAGTTATACATTTACAATTTTTTACTACTTAATATTTTACAATGCAAAGGGTTTTCGATGTAATCACTACTGATGTATAAATAATCAAAATAAACAGACTTTTTATAAACTTCTATACCTAATTTGTTTCTTCTATATTGCTAACTATGAGATTCTCATGCCTTACTGTAAAAAAAGTGTTAAACTTTGAGATCGTGACCCGTGGTCACAGTCTCTGACATCACTACTTTTTACGTATCAGGTGATAAAGTGTAAAGATTCTTCACGAATGAGTGATGAAAAAAATAAATACAAATGCAAGACTAGCTCAATAAGCTTTATGCTACAATTGTGAATTTAAGTTTATAGCTTGAAGTGTTACAGGTAAGAATATTCTGTTTCATTTTTATACCATTCGCCATGTAATCCATAATTCCCATGTTTTCCATTGCAAATAGTACATGGTGAACTCTACGGCTGAGGTGATGTAAAATATAATTATCCAATCCCTCTGAAACTATTTCTTAATTTCAAGTATGTGAAATACTCTAATACAGATTTGATAATTAACTCTGGATCAGGTCTGGTTTCAAAGGTGATAGGCCCTTTTTCTTCACATTGCTCAGAAAAAGATAAATCAGATACTTTATTTTCTGGCTTTGAATTTATGAGAAGGTGACCTTCTGATAATTACCATGGCTCAAGTCCCATTTCTCTTTTATATTTTTGTATAAACTGAAACGGATCTTATCCATTAAAACGCTTAGTATCCAGATATTCGAGAGTTAATATTTTATCAGACTTGGTCATGTTTCTTTTTATACAATCACAAATCAATTTAAATTAGGTAATAGTTAAACTAAATTAGCCCTAAAAAAAATATCACAATTGAGCGTGAGCAAATATAGGGTTATGCAATACGCTTTTGGTCAAAAGTGATCAGACTATGCAATTATCTCAATTTCACACTGTTCACATTTAATAAATTAAGATCCAGCTTTATATATATCTTCTAAACTTTCTTACTCATCATGCTCTAACTCGCATAATAGGCATATTTTCTTATTGGTAATTCCATAATAATTGAAATTTTCACTACTAAATTCTCTATATAAATCAGGATATTGATCCAATATCTTGTTGCGAAAATAAGTGCGGTCATAGGTTGGCTTAGATTGGGATGCAAATAATATATTTACCAATATACTTACTCCCAAAAGATTCGCTTATATCTCAGTCTTATTAGTTTTCAAAGTCACGTATCTGTTTCAAATTGGAACAGAGTCTTCATAACCTACATCATTTGTATTAGTAGTTTTTTTGAGGAAATAATTTATAATGTCCTGGATTTGATTATCATATAGCGCTTGCACTACAGCTAATTATTTGGATTCTATTTATTCCTATTCCATCAAACAATATATAGATTTATTTAGCTCTGAAAGTTATTTTACACAAATTTACATCAGTAATATCAGGAAGAAGAGGTTTGATTTCGCTGTATACAAATGTTCTTGCTGATTTATCATCAACACCATTTTTAGACTTAATATTTCTGACTCAATCCTCATATGCTTTATAGTAATAATACTAGCATAAAATCTTCTTACCTTTAAGCTTCATTGCTACTCTAAATAAATCAACTATATTCTGTGCTGTAACTTCACTAGATTCTATCAGAATTGTTTTTAAAAGAGTTCAGGAATCTGAATATCAAACGCCTTATTAATCTTACTATCACTAACTTCAGTGAAGAATAGCTTTCATCTTAAATCTTGCTCCACTTTTTGATTATAAGGAATTTTTTAACACTCTGTCTCTGTGTTCTCAGAAGCCAGAACCTGTTTGTTCACCATAGGCGATTTTACTAGCGATATTTCAGCAGATGATTTATTACTATAAGTAATTGACTTACAGGCTGAAATCAATTCTTTGACTATCCGTTCTGAGATAGTTACAAGTTCAGCACTAGTTATGGAGAGGTCCTTTTCACAATGAATTAAGTCTGAAGTAACAGAAGATGAATTTTTGGTAATCATCTTATCCTGAACCTTCTTTTCTCGTCTGTTTTCTCTAATTTTATCACTAATGCTTTTCTTATTTATCTTAATCAAGAAAACATCCATCTCCTTTTCTTTCGATGTCTTGACATCATCATTATTTCACTGATTAAACACAGAGCTGGATAAATTAACATCTGATATGATTTGCTCTACAGACCTCTTTGATATTGCTTCTTTATGTAGCTGATCATCCACTACCAAGCAACCCTATTTCACTATCACTAGTCTGGCCTCAAGCTCTGTATTTTTTTGTTCTAATTCCTTAACTCTAGCATCATGCTTGGTATTTTTCTTAATAATTTGCTTCAGCTTCGCATTCTTAGCCTTAACCTCTGCAAACTTCTTCCTGAATTTAGAAATCTCAACTAAGAGCCTAGCATTTACCTCTCTTAATAAATTAATAGATTGTACATTTGACATAATTAATAACACTTGTTTAGTACACTAAATATTTAAATTAAATAATAAAAGATCACGTATCTATTCTAATTTAGAACGCAAATCACTTTTGCTAAGAAAAAAAATTTTATTATTACATGCAAAAATAAATATAAAGATCTGGACTAAGCCCATGATATATATTATTTTTTGATAATTTTTTGATTCTAGCCCTCTTGCTAGCTGGGGAACTATCTACACTAACACAATCTTTTAACAATCCCACAATGATATCAATCACCTTTTCACGTTATTACAAAGTAATTCAGGATTTTCTTTGACAGCTGACTTTGTGAGATTAATCTGATATTCCACTGCCACTTGTATAGTAAATACCATCTGACCAGATCCTAAAATGATCTCATATTTCTAATCAAAATTCAAGTGGATAATATGACAATTCTATTAGATTTATTATTTCTGGAAGATAAATAATATTGGATTGTAAGAGTACATAGAATAATGACATTGGATTACTTATATTGAGTAGACTATATACAAATCGCTTAAGTATTTTCTCTTTCCAATACTTGACCGCCTTTGTATTCCAATAGGTCTTAATTTCACAAAAAAGGTCATTCCAGTTATGTTAATCATCATCATAAATAGTCTAATCCTCTTTTCTCTGTCCATATTCTTTGGTAAATTCATCAAAAGCTTTCTCCTTCTCATAAATAAATAGTGATAATAAAATCAATATATTATAAAAGATTAAGGATTTCACAATTTTAAGTTCATCAGGCATTAGTTTAACTTTGCATTTTGCAAAAAAGATCTTCATGTAAAAATGTTTAAAGATTTTATACATATATACTTTTATAGTTTTCTTGGCATTTTATGATAATGTTAATTACTTTTTTATATTTTTTAGCAAGATATTAAGTATGTAGAATATGTAAAGTTCAGCCAATTATTATGTAAAAAAAATAAGGTCAAAGGTATATACATTTCAAAAGTTATGCTTACATGAAGTAAATTTTTTCATTATGAGTTCTTATTTATAAGAAAGCAAAATGATTACCTACAATAATAGTAATAAAGTTATAAGTTTCAATTATATTATTCCTGAAAATGCATACACTATAAATTTTCACTCTAAATTTAGTCCCAAATATATAGAAATAAAAAAATTTTTCTTTAAATGCACATCCTCCTTAAATGCACACTTTTTAATGCTCCCAAGGGGAAGAGTTGACTGTATAAGGTTAAAAAATTCAGTTTTTAATTAAACTTTTATTTAGTAAATATTACTGATCAAATCATTTAATTTCAAGACCGTTATAGATTACATCATTATATTAATGTATTAATAACTAGATGATTTCTGATTCGTTCGAGGAAGATTCTCATTGATGGTTATCGTTCAAAAAATAAGCATGTATAATAGTCCGCATTAACATAGGAAACTTTCATGTAAGTCCCTTTATTTTTTATCTTGTATTATTAATAAAGCGAGTCTTTACATTTGGTAAATCAATATTTGATTAACAATTATAATATTACTCGTATATTACAAATTTATTATATCAAAAATTTGAATAGATCACAATCATAATACCGCAAATTCTAGCCAAACAGGATAAATTTAACCACCCTTTATTCTTACGAGAAATAACCTAAAACGGTTCTTAAGACTGTTATGAATTCCCATGATCACACTACTGATTATTCATCTTCCATCGGTAGGTCTGAAGGTTTAACAAGACCCGGAATCTTCAAAGCATTCTCCATCTCAGTTTTCTTTCGTTGTTCTGCTTCCGCCTCACGTTCTTCGAGATATAAATCAGCGTTGTCACCAGCAAATTCTTTAAGCTGGATTAGGAAATCACGCAAGTGTAGTTTGAATTTAGTGGTGTCTTGATTGAGTTCAAAAAGCCCTATTACAAAGGAATGAACCTGAACACTACACATTTGAAGAGATTTGGGTGTGAATACTTTATTTTTTAAAAAAAAGAAAAAAATTAAATTTATTCAAACCTTTGCAAATGAGGAAATGCATTATGCAATATATTCATCACATATTCTCTCAAAAACCGTTGATTTGTCATGTTGGGGTCTGAAACTTCAGTAGGATTAAACAATGGAGATTGTACCGCACCAGTTTCAACAAGGTTGAACATTCGCTGAAGAACACTACACTGCATTTTAAATCCTTTTAAAAATAAAACACAGAAATTATTAAATAAACTATACTATCAAGTGATCATTGTATAAATATACGTAAGAACGTACCA